TCCAAGACGCCCCAAGAAGCTTCCAAGAGGCCTCCCAAGAGGGCCCCAAGAGGCCAGAATCGTTGATTTTCATTGGTTTTTCTCAGGGTTTTTAGCGTTCTTGCCTTTTCGGGCGTCCGACGCTCGAAGACGGCCCAAGAGGCCCCCAAGTCCGTCCCAAGACGGCCCACGATGCTTCCAACACGGCCCAAGAGAGCCCCAAGACGGCCCAAGAGGGCCCCAAGACGGCCCAAGAGGGCCTCTGGACAGCCCAAGAAGGCCCCAAGAGAGCCCCAAGAGGGGCCCAAGAGGGGGACCACGAACCGAAAGAACCGAGCTTTCCGCCCCAAGAGGCCCCCAGGAGGCCCCAAGAGACCCCCAAGGGGCCCCAAGAAGCCCACAAGAGGCCCAAAAGAGGTTCCAAGAGGCCCCAAAACAGCTCCCCAGAGGCCTCCAGACTGCCTCCGGCAGGCCCCCGGTTTCTTCCGCGGCACCGCCCAGGGCGCCACCGGCAGGATGTCCTCCGTCTCATCGTTTTCCTTCAAGTTATCGCCTCTTCCTCATTCTCCTCCTCCTCCTCTGCGACCTCACTCCTATCCCTCAACGATCGCGTCACCGAGTGCCTCTTCTTTGAAACATCCTCGCTCTTCAAACGCACATCCATACACACATGCATACATACCTACATTTAAACACATTTGCATACATAGAAAAACAATCTTCCAGACATACATACTTACATTCACACACATACACACATATTATCATACACACATACAAACATACATACAAACTAAAAACATACATACGCGCACAAGCATACATACATACATACGTACCTACACACAGGCACACATGATCAATGCATGCATACATGCATGCACGCGTACATACACACACATATATCGTGAAACTCACCGCGTGCTCGAAACTTGAGAGAGACCGCGGGAAGTCGAGAGAAGCCGCGGAACGAGGCCTCTACTACTACTACCACTACTACCACAACCACTACTACTACTACTACTACTACTACTACTACTACTACTACTACTGCTACTACTACTACTACTACTAATAATACTACTACTAGTACTACAGGAGCGTTTCCCAACTAGTATGTGTGTGTGGGTGATGCTGTGTGCGCATGTCTGCGGCGCAGGTTAAGTGGTGTGACTGTGTGTGTGCGTTTGAGTGTGCGCCCATAATTTCTGCGTCTGGAGAATAACCCCGAGCGACCCGGATCGGCGGCACTGGCCGAAGGCCACTACAATATATCTCTCATTCGGTCCCACTATCGATATCACTATCGATATCACAATCAATCTCACAACCAACGTCATCATCATCATCATCATCATCATCATCATCAACATCATCGTCATCAACGTCATCAGCATCACCATCAACGGGGCACCATCATCATCATCACATCAGCATTATCAACATCATCAGCATCACCATCATCATCGGGGCACCATCATCGTCACCATCCTAAGCATAAACAGCAGCATCAGCGGGACACCATCATCACCATCATCGGAACACCACCATCATCATCATCATTAGCTCATCATCATCATCATCATCATCATCATCATCATGAACAACATCACCAACATCACCACCATCGAGACACCATCATCATCATCATCATTATCATCATCCTCATCGACACCGTCATTGGGACAAAATCATCATCGTCACCATCATCATCATCCGCATCATCATCATCATCATCATCATCATCATCGGGACACAATCATCATCAGCATCCTCATCATCATTACCATCGGGACACCATCATCAAAATCATCACCAGCACCTCATCATCATCGGGACTCCAACATCGTCATCATCATCATCAATATTATCATCATCATCGGCACACCATCATCACCAGCACCATGGTCATCACGAACAACATCATCATCCAATGTATCATCATCATCGGGACACCATCATCATCATCATCTTCATCATCACCACCTCGTCATCATCTGCATCATCATACCCGTCAACATCAGTATCAACATCGGGACACCATCATCATCCGCAACATCATCATCAACAACATCATCATCGGGGCACCATCATCATTACCACAATGGCCATCATCATCATTATCAACATCATCATCATCGGGACACCATCATCGTCAACATCACCATCCTCAACATCATCACCATCGGGACACCATCATCATCATCGGTACACCACCACCATCATCAGCATCTCATCATCATGAACAACATGGTCAACGTCATCATAATCAGGACACCATCATCATCATCAGCCACATCAGCATCATCAACATCATCAGCATCGGGACACCATCATCATCGTATCATCGTCACCCTCATCATCATCACCATCATCATCATAATCATCATCATCGGGACACCATCATCATCATAAACATCAGCATCATCATCGGGCCACCATTATCAAAATCGTCAGAATCACCTCATCGCCATCCTCATCATCAACATCACCATCATCGTCATCATCATCGACATCATCAACATCACCAGACCATCATGTACATCAACACCATCATCATCGTCATCAACAACATCATCATCAACCTCATCACCATCATCGGGACACCATCATCATCATCATCATCGTCATCATCTCAACATCATCAACATCACCAGGATCACCAACATCATCATCATCATCATCGGGACACCATCATTATCAGGAACATCAGCATCACCAACATCATCATCATCACCATCATCATCATCGTCATCATCATCATCATTTCATCATCATCATCATCGACATCGTCATCAACATCATCATCATAATCATCATCATCGGGACACCAAAGGGACACCGGCGGGACACCGGCGGGACACCGCGCGCCACCGGCCCCGGGACAGGACACATCTGGTCCGGCCGCGCCTCAGCCAGAGGCGGGACAATTCTCGCCCGCCCACGCAGCTTCGCCTTACCCGCACGCACGGCCCGCACGAACACGAAACCGAAACCGGTTTCCCGGTAGGGGGCTCTCCGTTCCACTTCGATATCACCCCCTCACCTCCGATATATACCTCCGATATATGTACCTATACGACCACCCTTCGGGTGATAAGGAGGTGAGGGGGGGGGAAGCGACCAACGTCGCACTCGATCGATCTTACTATCGAACTCACTACCGATCTCACAATCGATCTCAATCGATCGATCTCACAATCGATCTGACTATCGATCTCACAATCGATCTCACAATCGATCTCACATTCGGTCTCGCTATTGATCTCACAATCGATCTCACTATCGATCTCACATTCGATCTGACTATCGATCTAACTATCGAACTCACTTTGGACCTCATTATCGATCGTACATTCGGTCTCACTACCGATCTCACTATCGATATCACAACCGATATCACTATCGATTTCACATTCGGTCTCACCATCGATCTCACTATCGAACTCACTATCGATCTCATTATCAATCTCAATCGATCGATCTCACAATCGATCTGACGATCGATCTCACAATCGATCTCACAATAGATCCCACTATCGATCTCACATTCGGTCTCACTGTCGATCTCACTATCGATATCACAATCGATCTCACAATCGATCTCCCATTCGGTCTCACAATCGATCTCACTACCAATACCACTATCGATCTCACAATCGATCTTACAATCGATCTGACATTCGGTCTCACGCTCGATCTCACAATCGATATCACTATCGATCTCACTATCGATCTCACATTCGACCTCACTATCGATCTCACTATCGATCATCAAAATAAAACACCAACATCATCATCACCATCATCATCAACATCATCAACATCAACATCATCATCATCATCCTCATCATCCTCATCATCCTCATCATCCTCATCATCCTCATCATCCTCATCATCCTCATCATCATCATCATCATCATCGGGTTACCGACGGGACACCGGCGGGACACCGGCGGGACACCGCGGGCCCCCCGCCGCCCGGAAAGGAGTCATTTGGTCCGGCCGCGCCTCAGCCACACGGGACACCAGCGGGACACCGGCGGGACACCGCGGGCCCCCGGCCGCCCGGAAGGGAGACATTTGGTCCGGCCGCGCCTCAGCCACAGGAGACTTTCTCTCGCCCGCCCACGCAGCTTCGCCTCGCCCGCACGCACGGCACGCACGAACACAAAACCGAAATCGATTTCCCGGTAGGGGGGCTCTCCGTTCCACTTCGATCTCACCCCCTCACCTCCGACATCTGTGTGTATCGGGAATTAGGTATATGTTTGTATGCATATACATGTTTTCACATGTAGATGTATATGTATATATATATATATACATTTACACATATACATATATATATATATATATATGTACATACGTATACACGCATTGGACTGGAGATGAAACAAAAATGCACAGCGCGGAGCGTGCCAGGTGCGGAGCTGGAGGCGCAGCCACGTGGGTTCAGCGCAGATCCACGATATCTGCGCGGAGCTCTGTCTATGCAGCGTTTTTTTCCTCCGGGGCAGGAGGAAGAGGTCGAAGAGGGTCGTGTCAAGTAGTCGTGCTCTCTTTCGGTGGCCCTCTTCTTCAGAACACCTGCTGGCCGAATGGAGCGGAGAAATGGTACGCTGGAGCAGGAGAAGGACCTGCCAAAATGAGGCGAAAGAGGAGGGGGAGAAGGCATTGGTAAAATGACAGGTATCTTGCGGGACTAGCGCGGTCAGCTGCCATCTGGCGCGGCCCGTGCGATTAGAGCGGAAAGGCAGGTACCAGGAATGAGGGGGAACGTCAGGGGGGACAAGCTCAGGGGGAGAAGAATCGACCTGAAATCGGCGATACACCTTCAACAGGCCGGCGACAGGCCCTCGGTAGCGAATCCGCACGCCCCTGGCGGGAGAGGGCTATCGGGCCCCAGTCGGGGATGAATAGCGATTAGATGTCGGTGTGTCCCCCATTGATCCGTTCCCCCCATCGTTACCCTTGATGTAGCGCCAGGAGGAGGGACGGAAGGCAGAGTTCGGGCAGCCTCACCGCAGCGGGGAGTCGGTGTAGAGGGCCCAATCGCCCCAGGCGGAGCCCGTAAGGCCGTCCTGGAAGAACATGCCGATGATGGCCATCATCGCCAGGCGGCCGTTGGCCAGCTCCGCGTTCAGCTTCGCCTTCCGCACCTTGGAAAAGAAAAACACGCGGCATGCACAGAAAAGTTCGGAGGCCCGCGCCGGTCTCTTGCATCGGCGCTGGATTCCCCTGACGGCGCCTCCCGCGCCGCCCCTGGCGCGCCCCGCGCGCCAGGGGGGGAGCCAGCGCCGATGCAAGAAACCCGCGCGCAGCTCTCAAACATGTGTGTGCTCCGTGTATTGTTCTTCGAACCTCGGGGTCTGCGAAGCCGGGGCTGGTCAGGCCGATGCTCTTGCAACCCAAGAAGCCGGCGCCGTAATTGCCGGGCTCGCCGTTGACCGTGTCTTTGTAGATCTGGACCTCGGTCACGCCGGCGAGCAGGATGATCTGCAGCCAGCCAAGCGCGGGCACCTTCGACAGAGCGCCGAGACCGTTGGGCACCTCGCAAGGGCTGACCAAATAATCAGAGCTTTTCGTTGTCCGTGCCGATTTCGTTTTAAAAGCGTTTTGACACGATCATGGTCCAGCCGCTGGCCCAAAACAGCGCCTTGGCACAAAACCGAACTCGCGATTAGCCAATGGTGGGCCTTACGGTGGAAATAAACAATAGCTAGCGCGGACCCCAAACAGTGCTTGTATCAATCCATGTGGTGCAATATATGTAGTGCTATCTGTGTGGCGGAGTCTGCGCTATGCAATTCGCCCTGTCAAACATCCCACCCACCCACCCGCAACTTGATTTGCAAAACCCGTGCGACAGCGATTGCGAAGAGTGCTTGGCGTTGGCAAGTGCATATTCACGGCCGCGCTACCCCGCGCATGTTCGCGCGCGCAGCGACCAGCTAATGCGGCGCGACCCACGCGGCCGCGTTGGCGCTGACCGCAGGAACCTCCCAGCGGGCACTTCAATGCGAGTCGGTGCAATGGGCGGGCGCGGTATCATGGCGACGCCGACAACGGTAGACACGATGATGGGAGTAGCGGTGATGGTGGCGATTGTGGAGATGACGACGGCAAGGCCAATGACGGCGCCGATCTAGATCAAGCCCGCCGTAACGATGACGATGTCCTCGCGTCAATGATGAAAACTTTGGAAGGAAACCGGCATTGCGCGCGCGGCCGACGCGCGCGAGTGGCCCGCGTGGAAGTCTTTGAAACGGATCGTACCCCTCAGCACGCACGCAAGGGCATTCGGATGAGGTCGGCATGCGGCGCGAGAGGCCTTCTTGGCAGAATGTGATGGCAATTTTGAAAAACCCCTGGCTTCCTTGAGAATTCGCCAGTGCGCGCGCGCAGGCTGCTTTTGAAAGTTGCTGCTGCCAAGCCATGTGTGTTTGTATGTTGTCGGGATGTTCGCTGTTGAAATCCATACGACACCGAAGATTCTTTGAAAAATTTCGGCATATGTGCGCGACAACGAGCGCGCGCACTTCGTTCCAGTTGTTGCAAAATCCGCTGACACTGTCGGCGTGTGAGTGTCCGTTCAAGTCGTCATCTCCGTCATTTGGTCGTCGTCTCTGTCGTCCCCTTTCCCTGCCTCCCCCTTTCCCTGGGCTCGTCAAAGCTCCCCCCTTCCCCAAGAAACTCCTCAGCGCGCCAGCCAAAGCGAAGTTGAGCAACGTCGTAATTGAGTCGAAGGGAAGCCCCTTTCCTTCAAGCCCTTCTCCGCCGGGGGGGGGGTCTCCCAGGGAGGGGTCCCGGGGGGGGGGTCCCGGGGGGGGGGTCCCAGAGGGGGGGTCCCGGACGGAGTCCCGGGGGGGGGGGGGGGACGCCCCCCCGGGAGTCCTAGAGACCAAAAAAGCTACAAGACGGGCCAAGAGTGCCTTAAGAGGCCCCAAAGACAGTCCAACAAAACCCCGAATCGCCGAACGATCTGTCCAAGACGCCTTGACGGCCTCCAGAGGGCCCAACAGGCCTGCAAAGCGCCCCAAGAGGCCTCCAGGAGCTTTCCCACGAGAGCCCCAAAAAGCAAAATTCGCTGATTTCCCATACGTTTTTGAAATATGTTGGCGTTTTTGCCTCTTCCGCTTCCAGACGAGCCAAGACGGCCCAAGAGGCCCCCAAGATCGCCCCGAGACGGCCCAAGAGGCCCCCAAGAGGGTCCCTTAACAGCCGAGCAGGGCCCCAAGACGGCCCAAGACGCCTCCAAGACGGCCCAAGAGACCCCCAAGACGGTTTCAGGAGAGTGCCCTGACGGGGGACCCGAACGGACATTTCGAGCCCTCAGCCTCAAGAGGCTCCCCAGAGACCCCGAAGAAACCCCAAGAGGCCCCAAGAGGCTCCCAAGGGGCCCCCAAACTGCCCCCCAGAGGCCTTCGAGAGCGCTCGGAAGAGACCCCAACAAGCATCCTTGACGACTCAACCCGCGTCAGCGTCGTCGTCGCTACCGCCGCCGCCGCCGTCGTCGTTCCCCTTGAGGGACGGGTCTCGGAGCTCAAGAAGGCCTCTGGACGAGCGAAGATTGCCCCGAAACGCCTTCAAAGACAGTTCAAGAAACGTTGAATCGCCGAACGATCTGTCCAAGACGCCTTCGCAGCCTTTGGACGGCCCCATAGGCCTGCAAGACGGCGCAAAATGCCTCCAGGCGCAATCCCACGAAGGCCCAAACAAGCAAAATCCGCCGATTCTCATCTGTTTTCCACAGATTCTTGCGTTCTCGTTTCTCTCGCTCCCCGAAGCTCCCAAACAACCCCACAGGCCCCAAAATCGCCCCGAGACGCCCCCAAAAAACCCCAACTGAGTCCCAAAACGGTCCACGACGGCCCCATTACGGGCCACAGCGCCCCCAGCCCCAAGGCCCTCAAGCCTCGAAGAGGCCCCACACTGCCCCCCAGCGGCCCACGAGAGTGTTCGAAACACACCCCAGCACGCATTCCTGAGGACTCCCACCCATGCCTGAATCTTCCCTGACGGCCGAAAAAGTGTCCAAGGATATCTCCTGGGAGGCCGAAGAAACGAAACACGTGGATTCCCCCTATGCCTTCCAATGCGGTTGGAGATTCGCTCCTTGTTGGCTTGCAGACGGCCCGGGACGGCGCAAAAAAACGCCGAAAACGCACCAGGAGCGCCCAAGACGCCTCCACGATGGCGCCAAGACAACCCGAGACGGCCCCAAGACGGCTCCAAAGTTTGAAAGGGCTGGGAGGCCCAACCAGCAGCTTCGCCTAAGCGTAGCCCATATCCAACTCTGCTGTACCGTAGTAGCGATATCCCGAATGTAGGAGGTCGTCGCGGGAGCGACGGGCCATGTCAAGCGAACGTGTTTGCGGTCTCACTGGCAAATGGTGTGCCTCGCGATGAGGCGCGGTCATATTTTGGCGGCCAACCGCTTGAAAACAAACGGCATCGGACAAACGCTCGTTATCCCTCGCCTTTGCCCCAGCTCCCTTTAGAGTCGGGGGGAGACGAAACGTGACTCCGCCGCCCGCCAGACAATAAACACGTTATACACAGGAAGGAAGCAGCAGGCGGAATCAAAAGGAAGGTAGACCCGCACGCAAGTGCCGTTGCAAGCAAGCTACCTTGCGGCCGGATCGCCCTGCAGGCGAGTACTCGTCAGGCGGCCTCTGACGATGTTGTCTGGCCAGCCCGGTACTGAGTATGACATTTTAAATCGTGAGTGAAGGATTGCGTTCCTCGCATGACCTGTAGGGGCATATCTCTGTTAATGCTTCCTTCGGAGTGGCCATCCGCAGTCATGTCGCGAGTGTCACACCACAGTATACTGTGCACGATACCTCGCTCCATCACCTGTCGTATCCAACTGATATGTCCCAGAAGACTACACTTGGTCGGTTTCTCCAGGTCGTTGCCTGACAGGGACGTGACGACAGATTCCGCATGTATGGTCAAACTGACCATAATGCTCAAGCCGCCCATCCCCAGTATATCCTTTAACTGAGTGGGCGTCAGTGGCCCTGCGTGGAGTGCGTGCAGACAGACGATCGTGGTGCGGGCTGCTGCTAGCGCTTCTGCTGAGCAGCTCGAGCGGACCTGCAAGGCGTGAGACTGGCAGTACGCATCGGTAAGATGGACGACGGGCGTACCAGCACGCGCGCCCCCACGTCGCAGCAAGTTTGCCCCGCGAATACCATAGCCTTTGACCTCAACGTTTCCACTCATATGTCGATAGCCGGAGTCGCTGCGCAAGTCGACCTCCCCCGTTGGAGTCATCGACCGATAGATGGCCTTCTTCGGGCATCCCTACAACTTCCTGGTAATCGCGCTCAGCCGTCGCACTTGCATGTTGGTCGGTTCTTGGCCACGCTGTAGGGGCGCAACATATATCATCCATCACACCTGTGCGATTACAGCGCAAGCCGAAGCGTCTCTGAGGCTGGCACCGCTGTCAGTGGCCATATTTGATGCCTTGACGTCAGCGTCTGCGCCAGTGAGATCAGGGTGTTGTATAAGACTGGGCTGGTCTATGTATTCATATGGATCTCATGTAACGATGCTGCCCTCATCCTTGGTGCACCTCACATCACAATGTGTATATGTATGTTTGTAGAGTTTACACTGTCCAAACGTATCCTCAACGCACTCGACGCACCTGTCGATAGTGTCCTCAGCGCCGGCCATACTGGCATCATCCACGTGCTTGGCTGCGAAAAGATTATTGCTTGTCTCGAACGCCTCGTCGTAGGGCGCGGGTCTGCGACCGACGCCTCTCCTGGCCTGAGCTTCAGTGAGAAGGCTCTCGGTGCATCCATGGTGTTGCTACCTGGCTTGAGGCGCTGCAAGCAGTGCTTCGACTCGCGGTAGTGCTCGAATCCTGGGAGGGGCGCAGGCGCCGATGCTGATCCAGGCGGCAGCGCAAAGCACGCCACGCGATCCTGTTCACCGGTTGCTTCAGCAAGTTCCTGAAAGCTGCCGCGCTCGCGAGTAGTCTCTGGCTTGACCGCCGCGCCGCCCCTGAGAAAGTTCCCACTTCGAAAGCTTCCAGGCCCATGGAACCCCGAAGTGCCAGGCGCAGCCTAATGGTCCGTTCCATCTCGCCCCTTTCGTTCTGTAAGAACTTTCACTTTGATACGCGTCTCGAGGACGTGATGTTTGACGCCTTTGGAATATCTTGCATCTTGAAACACGCGTTGTCAAACCATGCCTTGACTGGATTCGCCTGAACGTCGGCCTTCGCGGGAAGGTAGTCCCCCCTTGACGACCGCAGCTCGTTTGGCGGCAGCGGTCACATATATTCGCATAGTGGTCGCACGGTCGAAGTCGAATATCCTTTGCTGTTCGGATATGACTACTTTTGGCATGTCTGCTGTGAAACAATGTCCTATATGATGGCCATCCTCGTAAGAGTCCAATCCGTAAGTATCGTCCTCGTCCGCGGAACATACTGGGACATGATATGTCTCCGTGGTGACAGAGTCACGTGGATGATCCCGCGCTGGCGGGTGCCCCCACTGTTCTCCAGCTACCGTGACCATCACACT